CTTTTTTATCCCAACTCTGGCTCTATACACTCTTTTCATTATTTAGTTTTATTTTATTACTAGTTTTATTCCATCTTATTATTATTTTATTTTTTTATCCCAACACTCTTGGCTCTATACACTCTTCATTATTACTATTATTTTATTACTAGTTTTATTCCATCTTATTATTGTTGCTTTTTTATCCCAACACTCTGGCTCTATACACTCTTCATTATTTATTATTTTATTACTAGTTTTATTCCATCTTATTATTATTTCTTTTTTTTCCCAACACTCTGGCTCTATATTTTCTTCATTATTATTTATTATTTTATTACTTTTTTTTATTCCATCTTATTATTGTTGCTTTTTTATCCCATTACTCTGGCTTCTATACACTCTTCATTATTACTATTATTTTATTACTAGTTTTATTCCATCTTATTATTGTTGCTTTTTTATCCCAACACTCTGGCTCTATACACTCTTCATTATTACTATTATTTTTTATTACTAGTTTTATTCCATCTTATTATTTTGCTTTTTTCCAACACTCTGGCTCTATACACTTTTCATTATTACTATTATTTTATTACTAGTTTTATTCCATCTTATTATTGTTGCTTTTTATCCCAACACTCTGGCTCTATACATCTTCATTATTATTATTATTTTATTACTATTTTTTTTTATTCCATCTTATTATTATTTGCTTTTTTTATTCACTCTGGCTCTATATTTCATTATTATCTATTATTTTATTACTAGTTTTATTCCATCTTATTATTGTTGCTTTTTTTCCCAACCTCTGGCTCTATACACTTTCATTATTATATTATTTTATTACTAGTTTTATTCCATCTTATTATTGTTGCTTTTTTTTTTACTCTGGCTCTATACACATTTCATTATTATTATTATTTTATTACTAGTTTTATTCCATCTTATTAATTTGCTTTTTATCCCAACACTCTGGCTCTATACACTCTTCATTATTACTATTATTTTATTACTAGTTTTATTCCATCTTATTATTGTTGCTTTTATTTTACTCTGGCTCTATACACTCTTCATTATTACTATTATTTTATTACTAGTTTTTATTCCATCTTATTATTTTTTTTTTTTATCTTTCATTTTTCACTGGCTATTTTATTACTAGTTTTATTCCATTTATTAACTATTATTTTATTCTTCTCTTTTATTCCATCTTATTATTTTATTACTAGTTTTATTCCATCTTATTATTATTTGCTTTTTTTTCTATACCTCTTCATTATTACTATTATTTTTTATTACTAGTTTTATTCCATCTTATTATTTTGCATTTTTTATGACTCTATCATTATTATTATTTTATTACTAGTTTTATTATAAATATTTGTTTTCTTTTTTTATAAGCTTAAAAATTTCATCTTAAATTTATTTAAGATAACCCACTTTAGTGAGCCGACACATTCTTGTCCTTATGAGATTCTATAAAGTGAGGTAGCATTTGTTTCTTCTGGGCTTAGAAAATCTTTTTATGTTCTTATTGATTTTCACCAACCACCTTTTCGGATCTTCAGATTTTTATGGAAAATAGATATTAAGTCCATTGCCAATGTGTAAATATCTAATATGAAATATTTTGTTTGTGAAAGAGCTTTCAGCAAATGGCTTGTCCATGTTTTACTGACATTTTCATTGTGTTTGAAATATGATAGTTTGTGCTAGACTCATTTTATGAACAGATTGTTTTAATGAAAACTAGTGGAGTTACTTGCATTTGATTCTTTAAAATAATTTTAATAGCATCTCCAACTATACAGTTTATATCATTTTGCTTGTTTGTGCATACAGATTTCATATTTTTCTACTTGCAGTCAGAGGATTAAATAAAAGCATCACTTAAATGTTCACTAAGAAGGACATGATGTGACTGGGATCAAAATGAGAATAGTAGGCCCAGCATATCAAATAATGGAATCTATTTAATATTCACTTCTATGGGAATGAAGAAAACAATCAAATAAAGTATTCTGCTCTTCATTCCCTTAGAAGGATAATGGATCTGATTGGTATAGAAATGGGAATATTATACACTAATTGGCACTTTCCCACATCTACCAAGAAAGACATTAAATGTGGCTGGCATAAGAGTGAGAACAGCATGGATCTCTGTATTAAATAAAGTGCTCTGTTCAACATTATTTACAAAGGCCGTTGAATGTGACTGGCAAATTTAAGAGTGGCCACTGTATTCTGCTGATAAGCAGAGTCAAGATGTCCACTTGCTAGTTGGGGAGGGATGAAACAAATAGGAATGGGGAAATATATAAAGCTGGTCCATTGAAGATAAAAAAAACTGGGGAGATTAGGAATCTTAAAGACCATAAAAGAGAATGCCAGGAACCAGTCACTCACATTAACTAGGCGAGCCAAAAGAGATTAGCTTAAGCAGGGATGGTGCCTGACAGGAATCTGCCCTGTGGCTTGAAAAGTCTATCAAGATTGGCTAGATTCATGTGAATCAGGCTTACAACTTGCACCCACCTTTTGCTGAATCAGTTCTAATCTTCATCCTGATCTGATACCCAAAGAATTCAATCAGATCCTGATGAGAATAACATTCATCTTGTAAGATTGCCTCCATTTGTGTCACCCACATGACCATTTTCAGTCTAGTAGAAAGACTGATTGCAAAAACACCCCCTCCCTTAATCTATAGACAAACCATGCAAATGAATACAGAGATTTCTTCCTAACCAATAAAATTAGCCACTTCTCGGTCTCATCTGCCATATTTCTGTTGTCTTGAAGTCAGTGCTGCAATCACTTGTCTATATCTCTCTTGCGTACTCTTGCTTTATTACTGTTGCTTTGCTTAGTTTTGACTTGCATATATTGTTTACTTAGTATTATAGTGAGTCTTGATAAAAATAAAATATATAAACCAAAATAAGAATTAAAATTAACATTTGCACTTTTCCTTGAAAACCTCATCTCTTTCTTTCTCTCCATGGTTTATCTCTATACTTCTCTCGACTAATGAGAAGGCAATCTTCAAATAAAAAGAGTTGAACCTAGGCAAAAAACATCAGAAGTTTGCAGGAGTCAAGCCTACTTATTTGTGACTGAAAAAAAATACCAAAAAACCAAGGAGGCCCCACACAACATCCATTAAAAAAAAAATAAACAAAAAAAAAACACCAGAACAGCAGAAAACAAAATAATTTTGGCCAATCAAAAAACTTAACACAAAGAAACTTTGGATATTAGCTGAAACCATTGTTCATGCCAGAGTCAGGTCAAAAGGACATAAGCTCACACCTATGAGTTAGATAAAATGAAGATGGCAGAAGTTGATGAAACAAAAGACGCTGCCATGGACAAATCAACCATGTGTGAAACATGAAGTAGTTAAGTGGTCATCTGATAATCATATTTCTGTCCTGTTTAGGGCCAATAAAAACAGAGTAGATTCATGCTAACCTATTTCTAAGATGATTACTACTACGAGCAAGGTCTGACCCTAAAACTACAACTACCAAACTGAAATGAACATTTCTCATGATTGCTAGCATTATTCACTTTATAAATGAACATTTTGCTACACTGAATATCACTCTAAAATTAAAACATTATATACTGTAGACGAGGGCTTTTCAAACTGTGGGTCTCAAATAAAACTAAATGTTGCACAACACTCATAAATCATCAATAGTTCTTCACCAAGGTAAACTCATATCATATTTGGGAGAGAGGGGGAGAGACGGTGGAAGGGGGAGAGGGGTGGAGAGAGATAAGGGGTAGAGAGACAGACATGGGGGGGGAGATAGAGTGAGACAGGGAGTGTGTGTGTATATATATATATATATATAGTGAGAGAGAGTGAGATCTCATTGAGTTTATATATATTGTTCATCAAACTCATTGCAGACTGACTGATGTCAGTTTTCTCTCACAGTGACCTTACACAAAAACTATGAAAATGTGCAGTGCATTTGTTTTCATGGCTTGTGAAAGCCATTAAAGACTGTTGAACAATTCAGTTGCATTTGATGTCTCATTAAACAATTTTTTTTTCAAATGTTATTTACTTTTGTGTTGGAATTCCCTTTAAATTTGTTTTTGTAAGAGTAATTTTATATTCCTACAAATAGATAATATATATATATATATATATATATATACATGCATGTATGTATGGATCATAAGAAATATACATACAAGCTATCACATTATCAATATTATTTTAGCCTTGTTCTTTTTCTTTCTTTTGTTATTGTTTATACCAATAATTTTCAATTCTGTTTATTAGGCATTTCTGCCAATTACATTAAAAACCATAGCCAATTACCCAACAGTTATAGGAAATAAAAAAAAAACTCAAGACAAAAAATAAAAAATCCTTAAAGTACTCAGTGCACTTAGTTCGTGTCTCTTGAATACTGTTTGGTTTGTTAGTATGTTTATATATTTGGGTAGTAGTCTTTCTTTTACTTATTCTATATGTGCATCATTTAAAAATTAGAGAGAAAAGAACTTAATGCCATTAGTTTGAACGCAAATATCTCCTTTATGGATGTATTCATATCCAGCATACTACTACTTCTATACAATACAGCTTAGAAGATAAACAGAAAAATATACTAAACAATGAACCCATTGGAAATGACAATTTGACTGAAAGCAGTTGGGACAATAATTACAAAGGCAAGTTTCCATACCGTACCCATAAAAAGAAAAATTCTAAAAACAAAACTGAATAAAAAAAAAAAAAAAAAAAAAAAATTAAAATTCTTTGTAACATTAAATAAACATATGTAAAACACTATTTGATTTTAATCATTTCACCTGAAGCAAGGTGATAATGCTACTAAGATGCAAGAGGTTACTGAGAGTGAAAGAGAATGAGAAGATTTTAGTGAGGAGAAAGGACAATAAATGACCTGGGTTCAAGAAGACAGATGCTGGCAATGGGCATTGTATTTCAGAAATGTAACCCAAAATGAGCATTACTTCAAAGTACTTACCTGTTGTTCAGGTACTTGCTGTAGTTAAAGATTTGTATATCCAATGACTCTTCACTTTCAATCGGCCTGGCCACAGGCCATTCAAATATCTGCAAAATAAAGAAAACACTAAATTATTAAAAAGAAAGAAAGAAAGAAAAGGGTTCATTACATTATTAAAATTGGAAGAAATTTCAAAAATAAATAAATAAAAAGAAAAAAAAAGAAATATTTTCTTTTTATTCCAATCCTGGAATAAACTATTTTCATCCAATTTATCTTTATTCAAATCCTGGAATAAACTATTTTCATCCAATTTATCTTTATTCAAATCCTGGAATAAACTATTTTCATCCAATTTATCTTTATTTCTGAAAAATTTATTTTATCTTTATTCAAATCCTGAATTGCAGAAATCATATTCTAAATTTATTTTGATCGATTCCATTTATTTTTTTTAGCTTCCATAACCTTTCAACTGATCAATTTTACAGCCATCTTCTCCATGTATTATCTTTATGGAGTCTGTTGATTCTAATTTTCTATATTGCTCTTGTGAATAAAAAGTTAACCTACCTTTTTTTCTTTTTTTTATCGATCATACACCTGAAGAACCTGGCAAAGTAGATTGGCCAAAATATTGCCATAATAAACAAAACCAATAAAAGGAATGATTGACTGACTGATTTGATTTTTATATCTTACCAACCCTTTGCTTGTTATTTAAAGCCAGAAATGTTTTTTTAGATTGTAAGAATTTTTGTAATTTTTTTTTTTTTTAAGAATTTTCTGTAGGATTAGTTCTCAGTCAAGTATGTGCGATCTGTGACACAGGCTTAGGTGATCATGTCGATACATGACTGACAAAGCAAATTTTTTTTCCTGCCGTAGATTGTCATTTCTTTCCGCAGTAGACCAGTTGCCATTCAAGGCTCTAGAACATGGTCTGTCCTGCTGTTTACACATAGCTGAGGGGAGAAGAGGGTTTATACATTTCCCAAGGGTATTAGCATGTAAGCGAATGTAATGGATTCGACTGGAATTTGAACTCAGCTCTCCAATTCCCCAATCTGAGCCGCTATCCATTACTCCACCATACTTCCTCAGGATCAGTCCTACTAATTAACCAATAGCCGTGAGGAGATGAGGTGGATTCATATTTTTTCTCAAGGTTATTTGTGTGTAAGTGAATATAACAAACCTCACTGGAATTAGAACTCTGCTCTCTGATTTTCAATTCTGAGCCATTATCCATTACACTATTCAGACATCCAAGCTTACAGTAGCTGGTTTCTCAAGCAGTCACTCATCTAGACTCAGTGTTGCTTAACCTTAGTGATCACACAAGAACATCTGTTAGGCTGTAAGCCTATTTTACAAATGATACAAAATCTTGTAACTTCATCTTTACAGACAGTTCAAAATAAATGGATTTTTCTGAACGGTAAAGAAATGTTAGTTGGTCACTGAAGAAAAGAAGTCGTAGTAGTGTTCTGATTGGACAGCCTATGTGTAGATGTGTGTGCATGCTTGCATGTATAATGGTGTCGAGAGACTAATGAGTTTCATTAATTAAACTAGTGGACACTTTTCCGTATATAGGTATTAATAGGATCAAACAAATGGTTTCTTTGAGAGTTGAAATAAAGCATTCTGATTGATCAGTTAATGATAGAATTGTACAACAAAATATAATTTAGAGTTTTGTTTTTGTTCGATATTTTCTAGATATTAACGTGTCTGTAAAGGGATGCAAGACAGGGATGCGCCTTCTCACAGAACTTATAAAACCTATACAGTAAGGTGATTCTGGAAGAACAAGTTCTACTAGGATTCATTATTGGCAGGTACAATGTTAAAATAAAACATGCAGATGACACTGATAGCAGACACAGAAAGAAAGCTACAAAACCTCCTACAGAAGAAAGTGGAAGAAATTCAGAAGAAAGGATTAAACATTAACTACAAAAAGAGGAAATGCATGGTTATTAGAAAATAGAACAGCCCAAAGTATGAAATGAAAAATCAAAGATACCAAAATCAAACAAAGGCAGAAATCTTACTTATTATAAAACGCAGATTGTGTGTGTGTGTGTTCGTTTATATATATTTCCTCCATTTTCAACAGATTTCAACAAAACTTCACAGGACTATGTAAAATTACCCAGTGGTGGTTCTGACCATGCCAAAAATTGGAAAAACAATTGTTTTTGCACGAAATCAATTTGCAAGCATGGGTAAGGGTATTGCACCCAGCCGGAAGTTACAGCCAGCTACACAAACGTCCGAATGCTGTTAAATTCCAGTGACTCAGCGTTTTTTTTTTTTTTTCAGAGAACGATACACAAAAAGTAAAACAAATGAAACCTAAACATACACAAGTCCTCCTAACTAAAAATAATAACCGGAAACTACTTTAAATACACATGGTGTCCAAATGAAACCCATGTGTACAGTCAAAATGCGGAAGTTAATTTTTTGTCATCAGCCAAAAGATATTGCCAACCGACTATGATGCTAACCGGAGCCAACATAAACACAGCTGATTTCTTCCACCAAGCAACTTGGCAAAAATATTTTAAGTCAAGTGATAGCGATTGCTATATGAGTTGTACAGTTTTTGAATCAAGCACGGGCAATGCTGGGCCATTAGGTTAGGGCTACAGGAATGTAGGACACCCATGGCTAAGATACAAAGACAAACTGAAAAGCAACTTGCCAGCAGTCAATATACCACATAACACCCTTGAGTGCTTAGCCTTGGAGTAGGTAGAATGAAGATCAACATGTTTTAGTAGACTCTGCAGCTTTCAATCTGCTTATCTGAATCATCTTCAAGAAGCAAGAGCAAGATCTAAAAGGTCAGCCAATCTCAGTGATCTCATCCCACAATCCTCACACTTGCTCCATATGTGGCCTCCTTTGTAAATTGCTAGCGGGTCTTAAATGCCACTTAAGATTATTGCACAAAATTTCATAACTGAATTAACTAAGCTGTCAGATCCTCATACGTCGAAACCGACGGGAGAGAGTCCATTATTATTTTATATAAAATGCTATGACATGGCCTCAACCTTTGGATAGCAACTTTACTAGATAGTGTCTTGATAAAAATACTTGGTGTACTTTGACTACGGTGAGTGTCTGCATTGGGTGTCAGTAAGAATACCCACCCTTCTTTATTCACGCCTCAAATCATTATGATAAATCTTCTGTCAGGACCCACCTTGCTTTGTGCAAGATTAATCTCATTCCCCCAAACCCATCAAAAAAAAAAAACAAAAACAAAAAAAAAAAACCCATAGTTATGCATTTATGTATGTATAAATATGCTATAAATAGTTTTACTATAGAAATACACTGCTTTTAAAGATAAAAAATTAAAGAAAAAAATGCAGAATCAGGGGTCAGGAAATAATGCAAGTATTATTAAAAGAGTGTTTGATATGTCTAAGATCCATTCATTGTTAATGATTTACTAAAGAAAATATTGTATAAGATAAGCAATCAAAACACTTCCAAACTTTGTTTACAAATTCATTTTCAGAGCCTTTTGATATTGATGAAATCAGTGAACAAAAGAAATTCATTAAGTTTTTGATTTATAATACAAAATCATTCATCCATTCTATTCAGATTTCCTGAATTTTGTCATTTTTCTACTTTCACTTTCTCTTTTGTCTCCTCATTTGTATTCATACACTGCATTGATATTTACTTAACTGAGTTGAACACACATTGCTGCTAGTATGGAGAATCCTCTGATGTCAGGATCTGAAAGATGATCTTGATAAATAATGCAGTATTTACCCACCTCTTCACGAGTAGGTTGTATGCATATATACAGGCCAAGGACAAAAATTGCCCAAGAACACCTGTCATAGTGACATTCCACCAACCATCCCTATTCTAGTCCAATGATGAAGGTGCTCATGGATGATTAGAATCCACAGAAACAGGTGCCTTCTCCATTGATCAATAAAAAGCATTGATCACAGCTTGAAGACCAAAAAGCAAGGAGATTTACACCCTTCCATATGGCGACAAGATGTGCCCAAGGTCATTTTTTAATGAGAGCTGCTAGTTCAAAAATTTCTCTACTCTCTTCAACCACTATCATGTTGGTGTTTATATTTCACTGACCCTCTCACTTAGTGCAATAAGGGTGCCACAGATTTGGCAAACAGGATTCTGTTGTTGGCATATAACTTTTTTAAAATCATTTCAACCTAAGCAAGACAAAAAGCTACTAAGATATGAGTTTACTGAATATGAAATAATCTGAGAAAAAATGTATTAAGAAGTGAGGCCAATAAAAGAATAGGAATTTAGAAGAAAGAAAGAAGATAACGTCTGACATTGCATTTAAGTTTTTGAAGATCAAAGTTGATTGAGAAGCTAGAAGCTGGAAGAAAGTTCCACAATGAAGAAGTGCGAGAGAAGAAACAGCATGGAACTTAGTTAAATGTTGCCATTTAAATTGTAAAATGATGAGACCCTACCAGCAATACAGTACTGCCCATAAATTCGTAAAGTCTAGGGACCAGAGAGAGGAAAACTCATCAGAACAATTACCATGAAATTTATTTATAGAACAGGCCCAGAAGCTATGTTACAGTGGTGGGAAAGTGACTGAAGTTGAGATGCCAGGTCTGGACCAATAACAATGCAGATTCTTTATATTTTATAAAGAATCTCTAAATACATAGCAGAAATGCCAGACCAAATGTGGCAGCATTATTTAATGCATGGACGAATAGACTTGTAAATGTCTAAGATAAATTCTGGTGAGGGTAGCTAATACACTGTGCCATGCTAGACAATTTATTTAACTTGATACAGAGAACCAACTTTCCTAGCACGAGAGCTAGCAACTGATTCAATAGAATCATTTCACTTTGAGTCGGTGGAAAATGTTAGCTTGAGAAAAATCAATGAGTCACTCTCCAGAAGGTTAGCAGATAAAAAAAAAGGTCTCTCAGATGATTAAAAGTGAGTAGTTTCATTTTGGAAACATTAAAATAATTAAGCCATATCTTACTCCAGTTAACAGACTAAACATATTTTTTTTTTTTTATTCTTTTTATTTTTTTTTGTAATCAGGTGCTAA